ATTTGTGTTGTTGGAAAAAGGTATTTGCAATGAATAAGTCATTGGTCTTGCAAAATTCTATCATGTGATCTCCAGTGTCATTTCTATCACCAAGGCCATATTTTCCAACTACCAGTGATTCTTCTTTGTTTCCAACTTTTGCATTCCAGTCACCAGTGATAATTAACTCATCTTGATTGCATGTTCAGTCAATTTCAGACTGTAGAAGTTGATAAAAATCTTCAATTTCCTCATCTTTGGCTTTAGTGGTTGGTGCATAAATTTGAATAATAGTAGTGTTAATTGGTCTTCCTCATAGGAGCTTTGGTAGCACAGTGCCTAAGCACTTGACTGCTAACCAGAAGGCTAGAGGTTCAAACCCACCAACCACTCCTCAGAAGGAAGGTTGGGCAATCCATAGTGATGCCACCTTGGAAACCCAACGAGGGGTCACTATGAGTCGAGTCTGACTCGATGGCACATAACAACAACAACAACATAGGTGTGTGGATATTATCCTATCACTGACAGCATTGTACTTCAGGATAGACCTTGATACATTCTTTGTGATGATGAATGCTGTGCCATTGTTCTTCAATTTGTCATTCCCAGCATAGTAGATCATGTGATTGTCTGATTCAAAATGACCAAAATCAGTCCATTTCAGCTCACATAATCTTTATGCATTCCATTTCATTTTTGACAACTTCCAGTTTTCCTAGATTCATACTTTGTACATTCCATGTTCCCATTATTAATGGAAGTTTTCAGCTGTTTCTTCTCATCTTGAGACATGCCACATCAGCAAATGAGGATCCTAAAGTTTTACTCTATCCACATCATTAAGGTCAGCTCTACTCTGAGGAGGCAGCTCTTCTTCAATCTAATTTGAGTGTCTTCTGACCTGAGAGGCTCATCTTCCAGCACTATATCGCACAGTGTTTCAGGGCTATTTGTAAAGTTTTCCAGTAATACATCAGACAGTCTTTCACTGCTATTCATAGGGTTTTCATTGGCCAAATCTTTGAGAAGTGGATGGTCTCTTCCTTCTTCTGAGTCTGTTCTAGTTTGGAGGCTCTGCTGAAACTTGTCCATAGTGCCATAGCCTCCAGCCTGACAGCAACACTCAAGCCACCACAGTAGGACAAACTGACAGACAAGTTTGTCTCCCCTAGCTGCTCTGAACTGTTCTGCTCATTTCCTGGTCTCTCCTGCCCTGCTCACTTACCTGGCCTGCTCCTGGGGCAAACATCTGCCTTCCACTGGTCTCAGGACTGGCCTTCCTCTGGGGGTGGCTCCACACACGCAAATACCCACCTTCCACTGGTATCAGCGTCTGTATTCTTTTGGTCTTTTCCATATGGAAGGAGGTGGAAAGTGAGTCAATGTGGTGTGACAAGGGGAAAGGAGGCAATAGAAAAGGTTTAACTGCTCCAATTAAGGAAACGGCAAGAATTTGAGGGTGGAAGAACAGAGAGAGAGAAGAAAAGAGAAAAGGAAATAGGACAACCTGATAGAGGTACAAACCAAATTTTAAACGCAGGGAGGTTTCACATTCAGTTTTAAGATGTTTAGTTTGCTTTGATGTAAACTCCTTTTGCCTCCCTACACTCTTGGGAAAGATGGCTCAGATAGTCTGGGCCCCAGAGGCCTGAACTTTGTGGTACCCAAAGGCATACACTCTACATTTGGGCCAAGGGAGCAGAGAGACCAAGAGCCCTGGACACAAGAATTCAGAGCCAGGGATGACCATGACATGGCAAGATTCAGGAGTACGCACAGATCTTAAGTGTGGGGGAGGGGCTCTCGGAATTCTGGTGGTGGCTCTGGGGAAAGCGTTGGGCTGCTAGCTAAAATGTTGGCGATTCAAACCTAGCAGTTGCTCCATGAGAGAAAGATGAGGCAGTCTGCTTCTATAAAGATTTATAGCCTTGGAAACCCTATGGGGCAGTCCTACTCTGTCCTATAGAGTCACTAGGAGTCAGAATCAACTCAAAGGCAATGGGTTTGGTTGGGTTTTGGTAACTGATTAACCTCTGCGTTCTTGCTGTGTTAGATAATCCATCTCCTTGTTATAGAACCATTCCAGGTTAAGTCTGCTCTAACCTGCAGCCAAAAACACTCTGATGATGCCCTAATTTGGATTCCCACAAAGCGTTCTGTGCATCCTTCATTAGGGAATTTGTCCCTTTGGTAGTTTCTGCTGGTCTTGAACATTGCCCCACCTCTGGGTCTTTGTACTTAGTGTTCTGTTTCCATGAAATGTCCTTTCCCAAGATTCTTGTTCATCCAGTTCCTCCTTGCCATCCAATTCTCAGCTCAAATGCCACCTTCTCTGAGAGACCTTCTCTGTTTATCTACTCTGGATTTGTCCTTGGGCTCTACCTCTAACATGACACCTTTCAGATTTCTCTATTTCACCCATCATTGTTGATAATTATTTTGCTGGTTTTGTTTGTCCTTCACCACAGAGGTGTTGCCTCCATTAGGGGGCATCTTGGTCTGTCTCCTCTACCACTATATCCTTAACACCCAGCAACCAGCACAGAATGACTATGGGATGATGCTTCATTTTATACTCATCTTCTATCTGACCCACTCCTACCTTCAAGGAGAACTTCCGGCAGCCTTCTCCTACATCCCAAATAGCCACTGTCTTGTCAAAAGCACCAGACACAAGGAAAGAGGCTGCAACACAAAAAAAGTCTTGAGGAGGGGGTCATCTTCCCCAGCCAAGTACTTCCTCCTCTGGTGAAGCTGAAGTGGGTTGGGGATGAATTTGTAACATGCCCCTGTGGCTCAATCTGAGGACACTGAAGCTCCTTCCTGGTGTGGCTCAATGGCCCCCAACCAGTTACATGTCTCTGAACCCAATAAAGACAAGGAGAGAAGCTGGTGGAGTTCCCCCATAGTGGGATTCTGAGGCTGGCATGAACATTGGATACTTCTGATGAGGAGAAGTTGTTCAGAAATGCCCTGGCATTTCTCAAGGTTAGCCTTGACAATGTATGTACTAGACAGGGAACCACCCCACCCTGGACACACAAAGCAAGCCACACTCCTATTAGGGAAGGAGTAGTATAATATTGATCTTCTGTGTGTTACAAAGAGTCACTTCTTTCACTGTGGCTCACCACCATTGGCAGCTACCTTTCATCATCCCTGCTCACATCCATACCCTTTCATATGGCAACAGCTCCTCAAGTTTCCTGTGGGGGACCACGCTTTGCCTACACTTAGTCCTTCTGTTTCAGAAGAAACTGATACTGATCTAGAGGTAGGCAAGTATCCTAACCAGGCCAATCAGAGCCCTTAATCCCCCATTCAAGTGATTGAATCAGAGATAAGCATATGTCCCAAGTTGAGCCAATGGGAGTTTTCCCCCAGGAATTCTACTGACACTATCTGAAAATGCAGATGTCTCTCTTTCTCTAGGACTATGTTAGCCTGGACCACCAGGACCATCTTTGCCACCTTGAAATGAGAGGCCAATACAAGAGAAAAGCTGAGCTGAGACACCAAATGAAAGAATTGGGTTCCTGACAGTGTTTGAGCATCTAGAACCAACCATGACTGAGGTCGGGCCTGCTCCTGGATTTTTCATTATGTTGTAGTAGTTAGCTGCTGCCACGTTGGCTTTGACTCAAAGCAACACTACGTAAACCAGAACAATGCTGGTCCTGCACCATCCTCACAATCTTGCTATGTTTAAGCCCATTGTTGCAACCACTGGGTCAATCTACCTCATTGAAGGTTTTTCCTCTTTTTCACTGACACTCTACCTTACCAAGTATTATGTCCTTCTCCAGGGACTGTTCCCTCCTGATAACATGTCCAAAGCACATGAGACAAAGTCTCATCATCCTCAATTCTGAGAACATTCTGGCTGTCCTTCTTCCAAAACAGATTTGTTTATTCTGGCAGTCATGGTATATACTAATTCTTCACCAACACCATAATTCAAAGTATCGATTCTTCTTTGGTCTTCCTTATTCATTGTCCACCTTTTGCATGCAAGTGAGACAATTGAAAATACCATGGCTTCAGTCAGGAGCACCTAGTCCTCAAAGTGACATCTTTGCTTTAAAGAGATCTTTTGCAGCAGATTTGTCTAGTGCAGTATGTTTGATTTCTTGACTGCTCCTTCCCTGGGTGTTGATTGTGGGTCCAAGTAAAAAGAAATCTTTGACAAGTTCAATATTATCTCCTGTAGAGTCCTTCAATATTGCAACTTGAGGCTTGAATTTTTCTTCAGTTCTTTCAGCTTGGGAAATGTCACATGTGTGCCCTTTCAGTTTTCTAACTCCAGATCTTTGCACATTTCATTACAATACTTTGTCTTCTCTAGCTGCCTTTTGAAATCTTTTGTCCAGCTCTTTTGTTTCATCAATTTATTTCATTTACTTTAGCTACTGTAAACTAAAAAGCAAGTTTCAAAATCACAGTGACCCCTCCTTGGGTTTCTGAGGCAGTATCTCTATGGAAGTAGATTGCCCAGTCTTCCTTCCAAAGAATGGCTCATGGGTTTGAACCGCCAGCCTTCTGGTTAGCAGTCAAATAAATGCCTCAAGCGCTATGCCACCAGAGCACCCAAATTGAAGAGCAAGTTTCAGAGTCTCTTTTGACGTCCATTTTGGTCTTTTCTTCCTTTCTTGTCTTTTTAGTGACCTTTTGCTTTCTTCATGTTTGATGTTCTTGATGTCATCTCCCAACTCATCTGGTCTTCAGTCATTAGTATTCAATGAGATGGTATCTAAATTCAGGTGAGATATACTCATAACTTTGGCTCTTGTGAACTTGTTTTAATTTTCTTCAGCTTTAAATTGAACTTGCATAGGATCAGTTGATGATTTGTGACATAGTCAGCTCCTGGCCTTCTTCCAACTGATGATATTGAGCTTCTCCATTGTCTCTTTCCACGGATGTTGTTGATTTGATTCTTGTGTATTCCATCTCTGGAGCTCTGGTGGCATAGTGCCTAAGGAATTTGACTGCTAACCAGAAGGTTGGCAGTTCAAACCCACCAGCTTCTCCATGGAAGGAAAATGGGACAATCTACTTCTGTAAAGGTTTCTGCCTCAGAAACCCAAAGGGGGTCACTATGAGTCGGAATCGATTCAATGGCAGTGAGTTTCATTTTGTTTCATTTGGTATTCTGTCTAATGAGGTCCATGTGTATAGTCATCATTTATGTTGTTAAAGAAAGATATTTGTAATTAATAAATTGTTGGTCTTGCAAAGTTCTATCATGCAATGTCCAGCATCACTTCTATCATCAAGGCCATATTTTCCACTTACTGATGCTTCTTCTTTATTTCTAACTTTTGCATTGCAATCAACATTAATTATCAACACATCTTGATTGCATGATTAATCAGTTTCAGACTGCCGAATTTGCAGAAGTCTTCAATTTCTTCATCTTTGGCATTAATGGTTGGTGTGCACATTTGAATAATAGTCATATTAACTGGTCTTCCTTGTAGGCGTATGACTATTAAACATCACTGATGGCATTGTACTTCATAATAGATCTTGAAATGTTCTTTTTGATGACAAATGTAGTAACATTCTTCTTCATTTGCCATTCCTGGCATAGTGGACTATAAAAAAAAATAAAAAAACTCACTGCCATCAAGTCGGATCTGACTCACAGCAGCCCCTCCTTGGGTTTCCAAGGTGGTATCACTACAGAAGTAGATTGCCCAACCTTCCTTCTGAGGAGTGGCTGATGGGTTTGAACCGCCAGCCTTCTGGTTAGCAGGAAAATGTCTTAGGCACTACACCACCAGAGCTCCCATAGTGGACTATGTGATTGTCCAATGCAATATGGCCAATACCAATCCATTTCAGCTCAGTAATGGCTAGGATATTGATCTTTATGTGTTCCATCTCATTTTTGATGACTTCCAATTTTCCTAGATTCATATTTTATATACTCCACATTCTTATTATTAATGGATGTTTGCTGCTGTTCCTTCTCATTTTGAGTCATGCCACATCAACAAATGAAATTTCTGGAAGCTATACTCCATCAACATCATTAAGGTTGACTCTATTTACTTTGAGGAGGCAGCTCTTCCTCAGTCATATTTTGAGTACCTTCCAACCTGAGGGGCTCTTCTTCTGGCACTAGATCAGACAGTGTTCTGCTGCTATTCATAAGGCTTTCACTGGCCAATTTTTTCAGAAGTAGATCACCAGGTCTTTCTTCCTAGCCTGTCTTAGTCTGAAAGCTCTGCTAAAGCCTGTCCACCAAGGATGACCCTGCTGGTGTTTGAAATACTGGTGGCATAGCTTCCAGATGACAGATGAGCTCCATTGTAGGAACTAATAAATTCATTTTGTTGCTTAAACAATATTGAGTTGAGTGCCTGTCACTAGCAAGCATGTGCCTATGGATCTCCCTCTTGACCTTTTTTGTTCTCATGGAAAATAACCCGTGTTCATTGGTGACATCATGGGAAATCGCTTCTCTGTGTTGTAATAAGGAAAGTCCCTAAGAACTGAACATGAGAAACTCTGCCCCAGCATTCCCGCAGTTACAGCATAGTTCTATATGTTAATTACTCACCATCTCTGGCAAAATGACAAGAACTCACAGAGCCTTCATGACCCTGCATCAAAGTCACACAGGCTCCATGACTTCGAAACTCTCCTGTATGGATGTTCCATATTTTTAAGGTTTTATCCCAAGAGCTTGTACACAGAAAATGGCCGCTGAAGGTAAAACAGCAGTTTGAGATTAAATTGGTGTGTGCCCTGAAACACAGATGGAAACAGTGCACACATTAGCACTTCACTTCTGGAGCATCCAAGGACATTCGTGAGAGTGGGTGGGGGAGAGGGGCATTGGGTCTGATCTCATGTGACCTAAAGGACCTTATTCTTTTGATCACTGCTCACCATGGCCCAGATATTAATTGCATCTGACTATCACACTATTCTAGGGTTTCTCAACCTTGGCAGTTTTTATATTTGTACTGGATAATTCTTTGTTGCAGTAGCTGTCCTGTGCACTGTAGAATGTTTAGCAGCATCTAAACTACACACTAGCTAAGAGTAGTGCCCCCCAAATTCAATTTGTGACAACCATCAATGTTTCCAAACATTGCTAAATATCCACTGGGGGCCAAAATTTCCCCAAATTGAAAAACATTGCTTTGTGGCTTGAAGAAAAAGAACAGATAAAAAGCCTCCAGTGGCAGCTGATAGATTAACTAGCCTTTTTCAGGTTTGGTGCTAGATCCCATTACAAAGTGGTTCTCTCCTGTTCATGGCAAAAGACATAAACCTACAGATTCAAGAAGCTGAGTGAACCCCAAACAGGCTAAATCCAAAGAAATCTGCACCAAGACACATAATAATTAAATTCTGACAACTAAAGAGAAAATCTTGAAAACAGCAAGAGAAAAATGGTGTGTCTTACATGTAGGGGATAAGCAGTTCAAATGACAGAAAATTTATCATCAGAAACTTTGGAGGCCAGAGGGAAGTGGCACAACATTTTTCAAGTACTAAAAGTAAAGAACTGTCAACTCAGATTACTATATCCAACAAAATTATCCATCAGGAGTTAAGGGGAAATCAATATATTTTCAGATGAAGGAAAACTAAGGGTGTTTGTGGCTTTCAGATCTAACCTAAAGAAAGTTTTCTGAACAAAAAGGAAACTATAAAAGAAGGAAACTTAGAACATTAGGAAGAAAGAGCACAGTAAGCAAAAATGCCACTAAATACAATAGACTTTCTTTCTCCTTTTGATTCTTCTAAATTATGTTTAGCAGTTAAAGCAAAAAATTATAATAAAGTGCTTATGCTTACTCTTTGCAAACTTCGAAAATCAGCTGGGATTATGACTTTTCAAAACCCTCTAGCAGGGCAAGCTGTATAATTTGCAGGTCTCAGTGCAAAATTAAAATGCAAGGTCCCTTGTTAAAAAATGATTAAAATTTTCAAGATATTAACAGCAGAGTGTTAAACCAAGCATGGGCCCTTCTGAGCATGGGACCCTGTGTAACTGCACAGATTACACATCTTGTCTTGTATCACTAAGATTCCTTGCATCTATATTTTCTTATTAAAAGCTATGTTTCCAGAAAAATCACAAATTCAGGTGAATCACACACACACACACAAAAAAAAGAATAAATAAAACATACCTATGGATATTTTTCTTATTGATCTTGTCCATAACCATCACCACAGGGGCAACAGAGTGGCATGGATTGCAACACTTGCCCACAGCCAGAGCTGTGCTACCTCTGCTGCCCCTCTTCTCTCACTACCACCACCCATTGACTCTAAGGAGCAGTGACCAAGCTCTCTGTGGTTCAGAAGGGAGTACCCCACAGCCCCTCCTTCAGCTATACATCTCACTTTGACCTAGGTTTCCATAGAAGTCTCTCAGTTTCAGAGAACACATGCTGAGAGCCCACCATGGGGCCAGCACTATGCTAAGGACTCCTGTGTATTATCTTGTTCAGCTCTTACATCAGCCTCAAGAGGTTGTTGTTTTTAGCTGCCTTTCCCCATGCACAATGGGATTGGACTGTTGTACTCCATAGGGTTTTCACCAGCTGATTTTTTGGAAGTAGGTCACTAGGCCTTTCTTCCTAGTCCATCTTAATTTGAAAACTCCACTGAGACTGGTTCAGCATCAAAATAACATGCAGATTGCCACTGGTGCTGCACTTGAGGTACACTGGCTGAGAATCGAACCCAAGACTCCCACATGCAAAGTGAGACTTCTACCATTGAATTATCACAGCCTTTCCTACGCCACACTCCATGAGGCAGGTGTTGCTGTTGTTGTTGTTGTTATGTGCCATTGAGTCGGACCCAACTCATAGCACCACTATTATGCTTAGTTTGCAGGGGAGGAAAGTGAGGTCCAACATCACACAGATAGTAAGTGGTAAAACCAGTGTGGAAATCTCAACATTCTTAACCCCTGACCAGATCACCACAGGAAAGCCTGGCCTGGGCCACAAATGAGTGGGTCAGGTAGAGTGACAGGGGGTATCTACATTCTGTCTACATTCTTGAGGGGCCTGTGGCCTGCTGGAGAGGGACTGCTCCACCTACAAGGCCCCAGGTCATAAGATGTTTCCATTTTTCAAGAGATTCTGGCAATTCACATTTTTGTAGGAGCTCCAAACAATGCTTTCCAGCATTGGCTCACAATAAAACAAATGCATCTGACACCCATTGTGGCTATAGCTGGGGGTTTCTCCTTGGCCGGCCTGCCTCCTTCCTTTGCTTGTCTCCAGACTCCTGGTAGCTCCCATGAGGAAGTCATGGATGCCTCCATGTGGACACTGGCTCAAAAGTGGAAGGTGTCAGGTAAGGTATCACATTGAGTCTGGGAGGGCACAGTGGGAACATCCTGCCCTCCTTCTCACTGCAGGATGGTGCCCAGGCTGTCAGGCCCCTCCTCACTTTGTGATGGTAAGCAGTGTGGCCTGGGACATAACATCCCAGATCTTGATGGTCCTGTCCGATGAGACGGAAGCCACCTTCTGGCTGTTGTGGTCAAAGCAGCATGCTGTTACCGACCTTTTGTGATGATCTGAGACACAGGAAAAATTACTTATTATCACGTGTTCTACATAAGCTGCCATGTGCATGCCACTACCTCCCCAGTCAGCAACCACATTGTAGAAACATGACCTCAGTGTCCACAGGGTACTAGCCATTTGTACAAACATTTTCTGAGTTCCTACTGTGTACCAGGCTTTGAGCAATGAATATGGCAGACTTGTTCCCTACCCTGGAAAGGCTCCCAGCCTGAGAGGAGACATGCTTGGGCTAGCAACAAGCTGTGGGCATGCCAAGGGTAGACTGAGGAGTACATAGTACATGATGGCTCCCAGCCAGCAGGAGCCTAGTCTAGCCTTGAAGGACCAAGGGAAGGACCTGAAAGTTAGCAAGGGAGGCAAGGGAAAAAAATATTGCATGCAGAAGGAGCAACATATCCAAAGGCCTGGAGGTGGAATGAGCATGAAGAAGCATGGTATGCAGCTGAAACTTGGAGTGTGAGCATGAAGTGATAGAGTAAGTGAAAAATGCAAGCTGTGGGGCAGTACACATATCACAGCTCCATGCTGGTAAAAAAGTAAACATAAAGAACATATGGGAACCTCAGCCAACATGACCCTGAGACCAGAAGAAGTAGACAGTGCCCAGCAACAACTGTCAACCACTTGGAAAGGGACCAAAATAGGAGATCCTGAATAGAGCGGGAGAAAAATGTGGAACAAACTCAAAATCATAAAAAGACCAGGCTTACTGGTCTCATAGAGACTGGTGACTCCTAGTCACCCTTTGGGCCTGGTATTGAACTCACTCCATGGCTTCCAGCCAAACAATAGCAGGTATATAAGGTGAACATTTATACCAAGTAGGTACTCACCTTAGAATAATCAACCATGGGAGATCAGAAGGGCAGTATTTGTACAGGGAGATAGCTCAGAGAACAAGAATGCATAGGAAAGAAGGACACAGGGAAAAGGTAACCACAGGGAGAAAATGGGAAGAAAACAACAGCTTTCTTAGTATGGGGATTGCACTCAATGTCATGAAAAATAAAAATGTATATGAACTGTTGTATGGGAAATGAATTTGTTCTGTAAACTTTCACCCAAATCACAATTAAAAAAAATAAAAAAAAAAGAAGAAGAACATATGGGAAGTAGTAGGTATGTGCATAAACATACACACACATACATGTGCACATGCACGTGCACATGTACAGAGCTCAGGAAAGCCCCAAAAAAACATACTGTTAATAATAGGTACCTCTGAGGAGGAGACAGAAGGTTTTCATTTTTTACTTTACATATTTACCTATTTTTACAATGATTTTGTAGGTTTTTTAATGTTTTATTTTGTGACCATCGTAGATTCACATACAGCCGTAAGGAATAGTACAGAGAGATCTCATATGCCCTTTGCCAAGTTTCTCCCATCTTGCATACCTACAATACAGTATCACACCCAGGAATACAATGAACATGAATTATTTTTATATTTTAAACATTCAGGTAAAAATGTGCAAAGGCTGAGCCTCCACTCATTAAATATTAGAGACTTTAAATAGCCACATGAAGTTGGAAACAAACATTGTTTCATTTACTACAAGAGGGAGACTGAATGGAAACGAGGAGCAACAGTTTTGGAAAAACTGTCCATTTACCAATCAGTGTCCCAACCTCAATGATGTTGCTTGTATTATTACAGTCTCATCAAAGAAAGCAATCAAAACTCATCATCAGTCAAATGCCAGGTGGCTATTACCATGGCTAAGAGAACAGAACAAGAAGCCTATGCAGCCTCACCTTTGACTTGTGACACAGTGGTGGCGCTTGCCACATCCGTTATACAGATTCCACGATCCACATCCAAGGCAGAGACCATGTATTTACCATCAGGAGAAAACTTACAGGAGACTACGAAGTTATCATGCTTGATCTTCCACTGAAATGGGCCAAAAATCAAAAGGTTGTTTTCCTTCTAGACCAACAGAACTTTCTGTGATGATAAAAATGTTCTATATATATACTGTCCAATATGGTAACTACTAGTCACATGTGGCCATGGAGAATTTGTAATGTTGTAATGCATATAGAAACTGAATTTTCCATTTTAATTTTAATGAATTACTTTTAATAAGTAAAATGGTTTCTCTTTTTTCTCTTGACTCTGAGTCATGTAAGGGAGATCACACAAGGACTGTGTGTGGGACACATGAACAAGGACTGAGAGAGCACATAGTGGAACTGGTGACAAAGTTCTTGAGATGGCCAGGTTAATTCCTGTTCTGTTCAGATAAAGAAATGTTTATTGAATGACTGCCCTCTGCCTGGCACCATACATAAGACACCACAGCCCCAGTTCTTCGGGCAGCTCACAGTCTCTTGGGAAAGGATGGCTCCAAACCACAAGAAAGGGACAATGAGCTACTAAACAATGTAGGACAGCAGGATCTCTCTGGATATTACAAATAAAGGTACTTCCATTGTGACAGTTTTAAAACAGGCCCACTTTTTTGGTTATCTAGTGCTACTCTGACAGGAATATACCACAAATGGGATGGCTTTAATAAACAGGAATTTTGTTGTTGTTGTTATTGTTATGTGCCGTCGAATTGGACCCAACTCATAGCAACCCCTCCTTGGATTTCCGAGGCAGTATCACTACGGAAGTAGATTGCCCCATCTTCCTTACGATGAGTGGCTAGTGGGTTTGAACCGCCAGTCTTCTGGTTAGCAACCAAGTGCCTTAGGCACTATGCTACCAGAGCTCCTAACAGGAATTTACTCCATTACAATTTTGGAGGCTAGAAGTCTGAGTTCAAAGTGCTAGGCTCTAGGGGCTGGGTGAAAGCCCCTCAACCTTGGGCTTCAACTCTGTCTCTTGCTCCTGGCCCACTGAAGCTAGAGACATCTCTTCACTCAGGCAGCTGCTGGCTGCTGAAGCTGACAAACCCATGGTCGACAAGTGAAAAGGCACAGTCCAATATTACCAAACAACATGGCAGGCCATTGATTCAAATCCATTAAAAGTCCCAAGATCAGCAGAGCATGGCAGGCTGCTGAATGAAGACTTGGCTACGTGCAGAGTTCAAGCGTGCCATCAGCTGGAGACCTTTCTCAAAGTTGCTTCTTATGTGCTGGAAGCAGACCACTTAGCTGCTCCAATAGATTCCACCATGGAGTTAATTATCAGTCTCACCATGGGGAATAACTACATCCAGCTGCCCAGCCATTCAACTAGGCCCAGCCCAGTTGACACACAACCTTAACTACCACACCCACAAATTCTTCAACAGTCCTCCCTCTAAAAAGTGGAGTCTAGATCACCTCTCCTTGAATATTGGCTGGATTTAGAGACCTGTTTCTAATAAATAAAATATGGCAGACAAATGGACAAATATTGTATAATTTCATTTAACTGAAATATCTAGAATAGGCAAATGCATAGGAACAGAGGTGTATTAGTGATTACCAGGGGCTAGAAGAAGGGGGAATGGGAAATTATTGCTTTGATATAATGAGCTTCTGTTTGAGGTGATGAAAAACTTTGGAAATGGATAGTGGTGATGGTAAAACAATATGGTGAATGTAATTAAAGTCACTAAATTGTATATTTAAAAATTGTTAAATGGCAGAAGTCACAGATTGTGACTAGGTCATAGTAGGCACCATGGCTTCCTCCTTGCTCTCTCTTGGATCACTCACTCTGGGGGAAGCTAACGACCATGTCCTGAGGATACTCAAGCAGCCCTTTGGAGAAACCAACATGAAGAGGAATTGAGGCCTCCTGCCAACAGCCTTGGAAGTGAGCCATCTTGGAAGGGGATCCTAGTCAAACTTTCTGATAGTTGCAGCTCTGGTCACCATCTTGACTGTAATCTCATGAGAGACTTGAGCGAGAATCACTTGATCCCGGATTTCTGACCATTAGAAACTGTGTGAAATAATGTTTACTGTTTTGTTCTGCTTATTGTAGAATAATTTGTCAAGCAGCAGAAGGTAACTAATTCAGTCACATAGTTGGCAAATGGCATGTATTGATTGTGTGACAAAAATAAATAAAAGTACTTTTAAAGAAGAAAAACACCTCAGTTGGAAAAACTGGCAAGAAATGAGAGCAAAAAATTTACAAGAAAAGAAATAAACATTTGTAAAAGTGCTCAAAGTCAGGAATAATCAATGCAAACCTCATTTTTCAGCCACAAAATTGGCTAAAATATTAAAAGTCATGATACTTAGCTCATGAGGATGAGAGATTGTGAACCCTCATTGAGTGCCCGGCATATGAGTTGGCCCAGCTTTGTGGGAAGCAATTGGGCAATTTAATTTTTCTATTGTTTAAATTAGCAATAAACTCTAGCTGCATATTCTTTTTTAAAAATGGAGCATATATATTTAAAAACATGTACAAACTGTCTTCATCACAGCATTGTCAATAATAGAGAAAAGTCAAAAAAGCCTCATTGCCCTATAACAGGGGATGGTGAGATGTGGCATGTCTATCTCTACAGAGGAATCCCATGGGTCCATTAAGAAAGACAACACAGATGTATACTTATTCACAATTACAGTTACGTGGGG